TATCCATATGTGGAACTTTACCATTCCAACCCGCCAGGGTCATACGAATGTAGAATCTTGAGCAAAAAATATATCTCTACCATACTCCACCCCTGTGCTGTGGGATTTTAAAGTATCTCATGATGGTTAGGTTGCAGGCCTTGTTCGAAAATAGTGATTTGCTTCTTTACTGACTGTTACAGGTACACTCCCGAAAACTAACATAGACCCTGACCTCCTGGCCCCCTGGAAGAGTGTTTTCCTCTACCAACCAGTGGTTTTCAGGGTCCATGTTAGTCTTCCAGGGCGTAAGTTCGGACAGACCCATTTATCCATCCCAAAGTCGACCCTTCCGGGCGAAACGTCCCAGCTGCGGCCACGGCTTCGTCGCGCACGGCGGAGAGCTCCTCGGTGGGGTGGAGTGGCCTCCCATGGTTTTCCTGAGGGTGATGGATTGTTAATTTCATGCTCTGGTCACATCGAACTATATCAGAAGTATATAGAATTACGATGAATTAAGACAAACAAATGACCATCCACTATGAGGTTATGTAACCATAAACCAGCGGGTTTATTGTTCTGGTCATTTGGGTGGCTTTCTTCGGCCTTTGAGCCCGCAGATTTGTGGAATTCCTGTGGGGGTGGGTGGGGTGCTCTTCGGGCTGCCACACTCGTGAGGCAATGATGAATGAGACCAGAGAGATTGACATCTAATAGGAGGCTGCGATCAACCGCACAATTGCTCAAAACTTTTGGTGCACGGAAATCATGGGTCGGCAAACAATGCGTCGTTCCATGTTGCCTAGTGAAAACGACCAGCTTCTGTCGATTCAGCCCTGTAGTGGCCCGCAAACACTCCCCGGAATCATCATGGAAGTGAACAGCCACCTTTTGGTAGGAACATGGCCTTCCAAGGGGCCATTTCTACTTCGATTCCAGGGAGTGCATGTTCTGAACGACCGTCAACAAAGGAAGCTCATTCTCATAATCTGAAAAAACAACGCAGTTCGTTTCTTTAGCCTTCCTTGCGGAATTCAATCTATCATCACAAGTTCGAGAAAGTATAAAAGCAACTTTCCCTCAGCTAGGGTCATCACGTGCTGCCAGACTGCTCGAGGCTAACCTCAATGCGAGCAGGTTTCCAGCCCAGTGACATCTGAGATGAATTTGTGATCACCCATGTCACATGTCCAACATCATCATGTAGGTTGGACACTCGATCACGATCCGCAAATCTCTTCGCCATCCGAGTTGCAACCCAGCTGTTTATTCAAAAAGCAGGTTCCCTCAGCGGACATGGATTTAGGCTCCTGACAGGCAAACCAAGGATCTTGGCAATGCAAAGCCTGTGGCAGGGACGGGAACCATCGGAGAACAAGCTAGCTGCTAGACCCTCCGGCCCCAGCCACATCATGCTACATCTACTAGCTCAAAAAGGCAAAAACTGAACAGCACTACGTGAACTGTAAACGTTGAATTTGTATCCTAAAAATCACCGAACAAACGAATTAACTGAACGCGCACACCTGGAACGCGCAACCTTTTGCGCATTCCGTCCCACCTCTGTGCCATGTATGCCGGGTCGCCTGTGGCCGGACAGGCGATTGTGGGGGAGGCCGGTCAGCATCGTGTAGCTTATTAGCTTTTCTTGCGATCTGGTAGTCACCAGGTTTCTTCACCTGTTCCATGGAAATCACAAGGGTTCAGTCGAACTTGGGCGCGTCTCAGGGACTTGAACAAGATTCCACTGTCATTGGTCTTGGAGAAACTGGGTAAAAAAATGGTCGGGTGAGAGATGTCCGCTAAATAGAACTTAAACGATTGTCACTAAGGACGCGCTCCATGTCTGCAAGCATGTCTGCCTGAGGATGTTGCCGAGTTCTGTTATATATGCTGAAATGAGTGGAATGACTGACTTTAAGTGCATAATTGCAAAGGGCGAGTACGAACATGATTCTTCATGCTTAACATGACAAGACATGACAAGCACAACACACCTTGACCCGACGACACATAAGCGGCAAACTCATCTCTGTGTGTGTGACAAATCATGGACATCAATCACATATCCCGACATGATCATAGCAGGATCGTGGGCATCATCACCAATGATTGGTGATGTACATAGCATAGCAAGGTGGTTGGTACATCTCACAGGAACCAATCACCAACACTTCCAATCATGATTGGGCAAGGGGATAAGACTCGTCAATGGCATGAGGAGGGAACCTATGACATGCCATCCTCTTGTTATCCCCTATAATTAGGACATCACGAACACGTTCCAATCGAACGTTTCCGCACCCGCAACGCTCCGGGTCATAGTCTCCGCCCCGGAACCATGCCTCTCGCCGTGCCACGTCACGCCTGGCCACGCTGTGTACGTCGAAAAAGGTCACCACGTGATATACTTGGGATGAGCATGGTGACAAGTCACCATCATGTTGACCAGGTCACCATTGTTTGGTGAACAAGGCCACCATCATGTGGGCTACATGTTGATCAAGTTGGATGTGGGCAAAAAAAGGCACGAAATCGATTTATGCACATCATTCATCGGCGCGTGTACTGTTAATGAAGGAGTAATGAGTACTTGAGATGTATGTGTATATATATATAGCTCTATCTAAGTAGATGAGGAGGGTGGGGCGAGGGTGATTCAGCAGTGACAGGCTGAATTGATCAAAGTCTGTCAAACAAATGCTCAATTGGATCGAAGCGGAACGCACCTGCTGAGATGCAAAGACACATGAGAACGAGGGCCCCAAGCTGCTACTCATGACATGATGTGCTTCAACAGTAAGGATGGACACACCAAGCACTGTAAATTAAAAGAAGGTAACCTACACCGAAAAGAAAGAACATGGTGAAACATAGCACACTTTTTTATACCACGTGCTGTTCTAAAAACTTGGCATTGGCACACAAATTTTAATGATATATATATATATATATTGGTACGTATATATTTTTGCAGCACTAAAGGTACCACTTGGCAATTGCCGGTCAAAGGTCCCCAGCCGCTCGCCCGGTCACCCCAGCCCGGTCACCCCACCGTAGTGCGAGCGCTGTAAGCCGACCGTGAGTGGCACACCTGAGAGCCGCAGAATCTGATCGTGTTGGGACGCGCCGAACGCGCAGCCATGCATCGAACCAGGCGACGGCAAGGTGTGGAACGATGCCATCAGCGATGGGTAGAATGGTTCGAGCACGTCGCTTGGCCGAAACGGTCTTTCGGTGGGTGAGCTTTCCACAACGCACTCTGTCCTTGACAACAAAAATATGCGAAACAACCAAGTCTTGTGCATCATGGTATGTTTCAACATAAGCAACGAGTAGGAACCCCAGGGGGGGGAACGTACCTTGTTTTCGGAGGAACCATCTTCCGCAGGTGTTTTCAAGAAAAGCAAATGAAAGCAGTCTTTTCAGGGGTCACTCATCCTCATTGGTGCGGAGGTGGCCAACAAAGATGGGAGGTCTGCCGGTGGTGGCCAACTCGTGCGGAGGTCCCTTTGGCCGTCACCGACCACATCCGCTTTGGGCTCGCTCAGACTGTGTTTCGAGATCCTTCCATTAAGCAGTCCGTTTTAGTATCCTCCCACGGAACCCGGGCACTTCTCCAAGGTCAACCCTTGGCTTTGGGCTTCTCACTCCGAAGCTTCGACCACTTCTCCGTCCCAGCGGCAGCATCACTCTGGAGCAAAGGCTGCTGGGCCCTCAAACAAAGGAGGCAACGGGCTGAGTGGGGAGGTGATCTGACAAGTCCCAGACCATCCCTGAGACTGGAATAGTTACGGCCACAAATGGAGCAACCGTATCTAACTATTCCAGTCTCGGGAATGGTCCTCCCATGGGCCTGGCACGACGATCTAAAGGGCTAAAACCATGCATTACTAGCAAGGGGTTGGCGAGCTAGTTTGGAAAGCATCTCTGAACAATGCTGCTTTGAGACCATGCGTGTGTGGGTGCACAAGTATCTCATATGTTCGAGGCGTTTCTTCAACTCCAGAATGTGGTAGAATGTAGAACATTGTAGAACGACAGCTGGAAGCTTTCACGATGGTTTTCACCTATAAAGACTTTGTCTTCCAGCCCTTCCCAGCATGTCTTCGACTTCTTCTTTTGGGGCTCCTTTTGTCGAACAGTGACGAGGAGGATCTTTGCCAATTTCGCACCCCAAATGTTCAACTGCTTTCTCGCCTCAAAGAAACAACCCCCGCGCGTCTTGTCCACAAAAAGGCCGAGCGCATGAATTAACTATATACTGAATTGACTCTTATTTGTGGTTCAATCGAAGATCCCAGGCCACCAAGTACCTTCCAAGGCTCCGGACACCTGGACGGCTCCTTAGTGGACTCACTTCCGAAGGAAACAACTCGACAGAGCGGCAGTGCAGCATGAGGCTTCCTGATCGCAGCTTGTAGCAGGTGACCAAAAACAAATAGTGATCTTGTTATGTCTTTCGGTCTTGGTTGATTTAAACAACCCTCGCGTCCCCTTGGACTTTGTATTCAGTACCGAAAGCTGGACCGACTCCGGACAGTGTTTTTGGTTGGCGCGAACTTTGGATGACGCGGATGACGCCCGGCTCACATGTGCAAGATGGGAAAACATCCATTGAAGCAGCCAAGTCTGATTGATATATTTTTACATGTACATACTGTAAATACATATATATATATATGTGTGTTTCAAACAAACACACTAAACAAACACATCTTAGGTATGGTGCCACTTGCATTCCCACCATGCATCTTGATGACTTTTCACACGAGCTAAGCCCAAAGCTTGGGCCTGCCTTTGAATTTGAATCGCGCATCATTAGACAATTTCTTGCCTGTGCTTCGGGCACATTCCATCCCCACTAGTAGACTGGATGAGGATGAGGATGAGGATGAGGACGATGCTGCTACTGATGATGATGATGATGATGATGATGATGATGATGATGATGATGATGAT